CCGGAATCAATAATCCAAGGCAAAGATGTATGACACAGGAAAGCACAAGGAGAAGATGCTAAGTTACCTGAGCGGGCAAAGGACGAGGAAGCGGTACTGAGAGCAGTAGAAGATCGGCGGTGACCATTCAAAAACTTGTCCAGGATATTACCTGGAAGCTAGGAATTCTATAACGTCCAATGTTTTTGAGATGTAATCTGGAGATGTAGGCCAGCCTGTTGAGCCATCTCTACTAGCACTGTGTTCCATCCCATTTTGGGAGCCCAAAGCCGCATGAAGGTCAATTATACACTTTATGCTGTAGGCTCTGCATCAAAATTTCAAGTAGGGCTTAAAAGGAAATACACATCTAGGCACCAAGCAAGAGGGAAATATATCAAGGCAAGACCTACTGTGCCCATGTGAATGCATTATCAAGAGCTTCCAAACAACCACCAATGAAAGGAGCCGGAGGATTAGGATCAAAAGCTATCCACCAGCCAACAGGAATTCTCACAGCATTTATACCATGTCTGTACAGAAAATCGAAGTCTTCCACAGTGATAAAGCTGTTTCGATGCTTCTGGAATGTCCAATCATATAAATTAAATAAACAACTACTGAATAGGATAAATCAATATTGTTGTTCTTTCTTCCAAATGTTAGAAAACGATACCCAAAAACTCCACTTTTCTTAGCCAAGGGATGGGGAAGATAATATTAAAAATTGTAACATGGTAAGGATACCAAAGAAAATCACAAATACATGCAAAATAAAATATCATCTCCTAGTATATGTGAATAGAGATGATGGACTCACTACTCCTGAGAGACTAGGAGTTGGTTGCTCACGACATCCTCAAGAAAACTTGTCGTTAATGCTTGTAAAATCAAGAGGCTTTTGTATATAAAAAATATCTTCCAACATAGGCATGCTATACACCTCTGTTATCAGAATCTTACCACCAGCCACCCCCAGCTCCGCCCACCATCCCCTGTGACCTCCTCCAACAACCCCTCTCACAGCAAGCAACCACCTCCCACCAGTGTCCAATAACGATCTCTGACCACCAGCACATACTCACCAACCACTTCCCACTAGCAGCAACTACCTCTTGTTGAAAACCACCTCTGGCCACCATCTCCCACCATCAACACCCTCCTTCGACCACCACCCCTCTCACTTGTTTTCAAAACAAGTTTTTAAAATATGCGTACCAAACATGTTCTTCTCTTAATTTTCAACAAAAAAACACATAAATATCTTACTATTATATTAGTGAATGTTAAAATTTGAAATGACACAGGATAAGAAGTAACAGAAAACCATGATAACTTTATCACCAGAGTTCCATACATTCACTTGAATTGAGCAAATATATAACAAATATCAAATAGTTACAAAAAAGGCAATTTCTTGCCCTAGCCGTGGTTGGCATTAAACCAACCAAAACTATACATTACAAGGGTTATCTTTTGAATAACACCCACCCCTTTTCTTAAACCATCAGGTTCACTTTCTGGAGCAAGAAAGCAACATGACAAGAAAAAAGTAAGAACAAATAAAAGCAACTCCCAATTAGTACCCATTTATGGGTGTTTGGGAGAGGTTAGATTGGGGACATAGCTAACTTTAGGCATAAAAGCACAAAGTAACTGTCCTTAGAATTGAACCCACATCTCAAGTTAGTAGGCCAAGATTTTAACCACTGAAAAGGTGAAACAAATATTCAACTAAATTAGTTTTGCATGCTACGTACCTTTTTTTATAAGTCTCACCAAAAAATCAACATGACAATAGAAAGTGACAACAAATAAAAACAACTCCCAATTAGTACCCACATTAATGGGTGCTTTTTTGGCATAAATGCACAAAGTCGCTGTCCTTGAACTAGAACCCAGAACCTCAAAAGGTTAGTAGGCAAACGTTTTAACCACTGAAAAAGTGAAAACAGATATTCAAATAAATTAGTTTTGTACAGCATGCTAGGTATTTGCCCCCTCCTCCTCCTCCTCCTTTTTTTTATATGAATATCATGTTAAGTTTCGAAAAACGGTTGCGGTCACCATAACGGTTGCGGTGTATAAAGGCCACAGTGTAACAGTTGCGATAACCGAAACCGTGATTTTTTTATGTCTCGCACGAGTTTAAAAAAACTTACCGATATGCATATTTTTTTTTTAGAATCACATTTATAGGGTTTAAAATTGATTTTGATCCATTTTTGTTAGTTTTTAAATATGATCCAATATATTTTATATTTTTAAATCACTATAAAAGGAATTTTTTATATTTTATTTCAATAGTTAATGATTTTAACAGCAATTGATTTTGAATGTTTACAAATTATTTTTGACCAATATCTCAACTACCTGAATAAAAAATATTCACAATTATTAAATGAAATGATTATAAAAATATATATTGTGCTATAAAAAACAATTATTTTTTAGGCATTTGTTTAGACAACAAATGCTAACTAAATAAAATTATTTTCAATTAAGTATTAAATGAAATAATTGTAAAAATAAAAATAGTGCCATAAACAAACAAAATATTTTTGAGTTACTGATTTTATTTATTTTTTAAAGACATTTTTTTGAAACACATTACAGTAGCAAAATAAAAAATATTTACAATTTAATATTAAATAAAAGGATTAAAAGTGTAACAGTGTATATCGGACGGTTATGGCCGTTACGGTAACACCGACTCGACCGACTCGACGGTTACAAAATTTCCGTCACACTGCTATAGCAGCCGAAACCGGTGGCGGTAACACCACAACAGTTCCGTAAGGGATTTTTAAAACCATGCATGTTATACAATTGCCCTACTAAAATGGCAATATCAGCTGTTTGGTTGCCAATAAAATGCAGGAAAATTCAATTGATTGAGATTACAATATATTCTTTCCTATCACTCGTTTATTGATAGAATAATAATTGAAGGACGATACTAACTAGGTTCAGAAAACAAAAAACATAAAAAAAGGACCCAAATATTACCTCTCCAGTTTGAGCAAAACAGGTGTAGATATAGTTCTCATCCATCCAATACTGCAAGTCCCCGATCCAAAGCGACTTGATCTCATTCGAACCAGCCGAACCCTGATACTGCTGCTGTTGTTGCTGAGCCTGCTGCATCTGCATGGCCTGCGGCTGAGGCTGCTGCGGCACCGCCGCCTGCGGTGGCTGCTGCGCCCACACCGGCGGCTGCTGCTGCTGCTGATACGGCTGTTGCTGCGGCGGCTGTTGCTGGTGGTGGTGCTGCTGCTGCTGCATCATCATCCACTGCTGATACTGCTGTTGTTGCTGTTGCTGCTGTTGTTGTTGTTGATCCATTGGCATCGGAGGCATTGGAGGAGGGACTACACCGCTTGCTGGTTGCATCATCTTCGAATAAAACCCTAACCCTAACCCCAACAAAGAAATAGATCTACAGAAAGAAGAGGAACCCTAGAGAGATGATTGATAGAGATACTGATCTATATCTATAGGTATAGAGTTTGGATGATTGTAAAGGTGCGAGAGGGATCGGAGGAACCCTAATCTCGAAACCGTGGAGAGAGATTGGGGGGTAGAGAAAGAGAGAGAGGATATTTGTGGGGGATGAGATGGGCTTTTATATGGATAAGCCCAGGCAGTGTTTGGGTGGACACAATTTGTGATTGGTGTTTGTTTGAGTCGGTGTTTTTGAGTCGGTGTTGATCACAACCACAGGGTTTGAGCTTGTTTGGGTGAGAGAAAGTTGGACTGGCTTTGAGTGGAGCCATTAAAAATGGGGTTCAAATTATTCCTTCGATTATTTTATTTTTTTTGTTTTTGCAAAAAACTTTGCATTTTCATCCAACATAGGGAATAAAAATAATGAAAATTGTTTTGTTTTATGTTTTTTATTTTTATTTTTTTAGCATGAATCTATTTAAATCAATCACAAATATATGCTTGGAAACTTACAAATTAATGACGAAAACATGTTAAATTTATATTTTTGCTCAATTTAGTTTTGTCATTTTCTCATGTTTTGTTTCCCTCTTCATTGCCTTACATTCTCTAACTACTCGCCACTCCTCCCTCTATCTTTTCTAATTGTCGCCAACTTTACCCTCATTTTCTTTCGATTTTTGTGAAATTTTCTTCCATTCTTCCTAACATCTCAAACCTTATTTTTGTCACTATCATTACACCCCTTAGCCTTTTTTCACTCCTTCCACCCATCTCCAAACTCTTAATCTACCATAACGCAATTCTTTATGAATAAAGCTTCGGACCTTCAGTGGGGGTGCGGGGGTCCCTTCCCATTGGTCAAAAAAATAGTTTTTTTTTTTGAGTTTTCAGCCAATCTCAGGCCGACACGTGGCACTGGGGGGTCACTGGGGGTCTGTAGCATTGCTGTTTTTTGCGGGAGTATATGGGAAAAGGATAACAGAGGGTTAAGAGAGTAGGGTTGGGGCTAGAGAGGTTGAGTGAGGTTATGGTTAGGGTTAGGGTTAGGGTGAGGGTTAGGGATAGGGATAAATAAATAAATGTCTAAAAAATATATCAATTTTATATGATCATCATCCAAACACATAATAAAAATTAATTTGGTAAAATAAATAAATAAATAAATGTCTAAAAAATATATCAATTTTACATAATTTTATCTTTTGTGGGTAAAAATTATTTTTAAAAATTCAAATTATTTTTTGATATTTATTTTTATCAAATTAGTTTATATTTTATCAAATTGACGACTTTGCCCTTGAAATTGAACAATGATATCTTCAATTGTCCTTATTTGAAATAAGATTCAAAATTCAGAATTAAATGTGTCGCAATTAAATAGTCAAAAATTAAAATAACATAAATTCTAAATTATAAGAACTGTTAGTATAATTTGTCCTTCAATTTCAGATTGTAAAAATCAGAAAACGGTGGCAATATATTTGGTTTACCATGAAAGGAAAAAAAAAAAAAAAAAATTTTGCCGTTACCGGTTGACCGGCCGGTCGACCGGCCGGTCAAACCAACCGGTCGCCCAGCACAAATTTGATGAAACGGATTTGATGTTGAACCGTTGGAGCGCGAAGTATCAAAATAAAGAAATGACCCATTTTTGACTCAGATTTGATGAAACATTTGGTACACCGTTGGAGATGCTCTAACACAAGTGTTAACCAATTTGGATGGGATGACTTGGCGAGATATGTTGAGAAATAAAACTCTCGTTTTTTTTTCTTTTCTTTTTTTATGTTTGATTTATAAGTTTAGTGAGAAATTATGAAAAAAAAAAAAACTCTTTTAGAGCATCCATATTAGGCAAAGTTTGGCAAGTCAAAAAGTCAAAAAGTCAAAAAGTTACTCAAAAAATTAAAAAGTTATCACTATTCACCAAAAGTCAAAAATTACGGCCGCACAACTCTCAATCCTAATTTTCTCCTACACACTAATTTATATAATTTTTAAATACACATTTTTTCATAAAAAGTCAAAAAGTTAACCCAAACATCTATATTTTTTTCCTTAATTTTTTAATCTAAAAAGACAAAAAGTATACTTATTTAGGAGATCCCAAACAACCCCTTAGTTTCACCAAATGTAATTTTTGGTTAAATATAACAAATCATAAAATTTTTGCTTTATCAATCTCAACAAATTATTCGTAAAATAGTTTTTGGTTAACTTTACTACAATATCTTAACAAATTTGTTGAG